CCCCCAAAAAACCCAAAAAAAACCCAAAAAACGTCGGGATATTAGTCAAGCTTTTAAATTTCAAATTAAGAGAAAATATCGTGAATACCTAACCAAGATCGAGAAATCCTTTAATTCTAATCTCAAAACTTTCTGGAGTTTGGAGTTATCATAAGGCTATGTTACATCAAAGAACAAACCATATTTCTGCGATCATTTACAACGTTGTTACAGCAACTAATCCAATTGAAAAAGCAGAACTACTCAATGCCTATTTTACCTCTGTGTTTTCCAAACCAACCGCGAACACGGATTATGCGAATTTTCTGAATTATCAGGAGTTTTGCTCAGGACTTGCTGAATTCCAATTGACTACGGACGAGGTTCTTGCTTATCTGAATTCTTTGGATACATCTAAAGCATGTGGCCCTGATGGGATACCAGCGCGTTTACTTAAAGAGTGCAGTTTCCAGATAGCACCCAGTTTGTGCGATTTGTTTAGCTATTCGTTACACATAGGACGTCTTCCATCAGAGTGGAAAGCAGGTGATCATGACATCACTCCGATACATAAAAAAGAATTAAGAGAACCAGCTGAAACTGTTATAGACTCACATCACTTCTTCCAATTATAGCCAAAGTCTTGGAACGTTGTGTGAGTAAAAGGTTATATAATCGCGTAATAAATGCTATTTCTCCAAAACAACATGGATTTGTAAGGAATCGTTCGTGCGTAACTCAACTCTTACAAGTGCTTCATTTAATCGGACAAAATCTAGACGAAAATATCCAAACAGATATACTGTATTTAGATTTCGCCAAAGTCTTCGACTCCGTCGACCATAATTTAATAATAAAAAAGCTTAAGTTTTTTGAAGTTAAAAGGGAAGGTTCTTAATTAATTGGTTTCGAGACTATCTTAATAATCGGACTCAAAGGGTTGGAAGGTGTATGCTCTGGCTGGACACATGTGACTTTTGCTGTGCCTCAGGGCAGCATACTGGGACCTTTGCTGTTTGTTATTTTCATAAACGATCTTCCGAATGTTGTGTCACAGACAACGAAAGTTGCGCTATATGCTGACGACACCAAATCATTCAGAGGAATAACTTCCGGAGGTGATTCTTGGGACTTACAACAAGCTCTATCTAATTTATCGACCAGCTGGAGTAGCAACAACAACATTTCTTTTAACGAGTCGAAATGCAAGACGATGACATTTACTAGGAATAAAGAATCAATCCCCTTTATCTATCATCTTGACCTGTTTCCTATCAATACAGTACAAGAAGAAAAAGATCTCGGTGTACTTATGACCAGTAGCCTATCATGGGATTCCCACATCCAAAGAATATCTGCGAAAGCCAATAGAATGCTCGGGCTACTGAAACAAACCTGCCCTCTCTTGACTCAAGGTGGGAGATGTTTCGTATCGAGACAGGTTATTCTAAATATGTTACCTTTATGTTATGATCGAGAAAAAAGAGACTTGATGTTCTTTTATAAAGCTCTCCATGGACTTTACGACTTTAATTAAATGTGGAAGACTTTGTCTCCTTTGTCACTCATGGGCGAACACGTCTCAGTAGTAAATCCACTGTTGTTTTAAAAATACCATATTGTAAAACAACTACATTTCAGGCCTCATTTTTTAATCGGATTGTAAAGATATGGAACTCTATATGCAAAGTTGCCACATGTAGCAGCTTTACTAGCGTCACCACCTTTAAAACGTTCTTAATCAATCATTATAATAAGCTTATATTGAATGTTTTTGATGCAAATTTGACCTGTACTTGGTCAGTTGTTAGAGAGTGTGCTTGTCACAGGAGTTAAAGCACGTTTACGCGTTACGACTGGTCGGGTTTTTATGATTGATGTCATCAAATGACGTTTTATCTGGCTTATTAATAATTATTTTAACATAGGTCCTATCACTTTGGCGTGAATGCGTGTAAACGTGCTTTCAACGATTTTAAATTTTAAATTTATGTAAATTTGTACATGTCGACAGAAGTTAAATCGGGAGGTAGCCTCGCATGGGCTCAGTATTATGGTCCGTTCGCTATTTTCCCGTTTAGGAACTGCATGTTTGTTGTATTTGTACGTTATTAATGCAATATATTTAGTTCCTAATAAAGCTGTTAAAAAAAAGTTATGCGGCGATTTCTTGCAAGTGAATTCGCTGGCAATTCTCTCGTTGATTGCGATTAAAAATAGCCAGCGGGAGAGTCGAGAGGGACAGGGGGCCCGTGTTCACAAATCGTCATTTTGTCCCGGGGCCCGTGGTTGGCTCTCGTCGGCCTTGGAATCGGCCCAGGCTGGCATCTGTCCACTAGCTCTGTTAGATTCGGCAAATTTTCAGTAAAAGTTTGGACTCACCTAAATATCATTTCGTGCAGTTTTAGGACAGTCTACATGAATAGCAAAAAGGCTTTCCTCGGAATCTTTTAAATTTCTAAAATTTCTTAAAACTTACAATTCAGATAAAACCTTAACACTTAACACTTAACACTTAACACTTAACAAAAATCTTGTTTTTAAGGATAAATCGTAGGGATGGGAGAGCGCTGCAATACTGGGAATTGATATATATGACCACGGTGGGAATCAAACCCGCGACTTTTGGGATACGTATACTAGTCCAATGGGAATGCACTACCAACTGAGCTACGAGGTCAAGTCATGCAGTTCGAATTAGTGATATTTCGAAACTGAGTCTACTTCCTTAGATACCAATGTATTCTAAGATATAACACATTTTTGTGTGTGAATATGATGTAGATGTGGTGTTAGTCTGAGGGTACACCCACACCAGACAAGCTGAAAAGAATTCCCCTGACCACGGCGGGAATCGAACCCTCGCCCTTTGAGATACTAGTCCAATGTTCTACCAATTGTGCTACGAGGTCAAGTCAGTAAGTCAGTTCGAGTAGTTGATATTCGGAAACTGAGTCTATAGTTCTTTCGATATCAATGTATTCTGAGATATGATACGTTTTTGTATGTGTTGGTGCACAGCCTATCGAAGGGAAGATGGCTGTGAAACTGAAAAACAATATAATTTATCTCATTATCTATGTTAGTCAACGTTTATTCATAAATCTGGTCGTTTCACCGTCACGTGTGTATTGTATTTTTACCAAATCCACCAATAGCAATTTCCAGTTTCCCTATTGTTCGAGTCACGGATAGGTGACTTTCCTAAAACATTGCTATTGGTTAGTTTGACAAGAATACAATACACACGTGACGGTGGAGGACCAGATTTATGAATAAACGTTGACCAACAAAGATAATTATATAGTTACATGGTTATTCTAATGAGTTTCACAACCATCTTCCCTTCGATAGGCTATGGTTGCATGGTGTTACGTACTCAGGTGCAGGGGCGGATCCAGGGGGTAGCAAGCGTGGCTTGAGACACGGTCAGATTTTTGAGATCGTCATATTCTCTAAATTGGTCTATAAGGACGGAAGCGATCGTTATTTATACGTATAAACGTCCCAAACATTACAACTTCAAACAGATATATACTCCTGGTCCAGCGTTACGTATTACTGTTTTTTGTCCAACAAAATCGCGAAATAAAAACGTAAATATCTCAAAAGATGTAATTCCTGTGGGAAAACCCCGCACTTACTGGATATTAAATGTTTGCCACGACAATAACCGAGAACTACTCGAAGTTGATCATTTTAAGTTCGGAAAATGTTCGTCAAATGCGACTGCGATTTTGAGACACGGTCCGCGGTTCTGCTGTTACTAAATATAGTAACTTCTTGACACGGTGGAGCGTGTCAAGCCAATCACAGGCCGAGATTTTGTCACGTGAGACACGGTGCGACATTTTGTGGCGACACGGTGGCCATGTTTTTGTTGCGCAATATTATGGAAATGGTTAAATCGGGAACAGTTCGGAAACTTCTCACTGTGCATTATTCGTGCATGCCTTCTAGTACGAAACTTAGTGAAATTTTTTGGCGCTAAGACGTTAAGTTTCAAGCGGAACTGTTGAATCAACATTGTGGTCCGGAAGACAGCAAGCGAAGTTGGAATAGAAAACATATACGAACGTCTAGAAAGATAGACCTGCGCTTATGCTTTGATACCTGCAAGGTGAGACTGAATCTGACTTCTAATATTTATAACTTGTATGCAAAGTGTGTATGTAAATTTATTGTGATCGAATATATTACAGCGAAATATTCAAATATTAGCTGAGCACCGAATGTTATCATGCAAACATGTCATCATGATTCATGAACAATGTTTTATTTATCCAGTCGATCGATTCACTAGTATATATTAATTTAATTTCTTTGTGATAAAGTTACAATGTGAAATAATATTATATGTAACTGCATGTCTGGTTGGTATATTTTTGAATTAAAGACTCGTATTGTCAACGACAATACCGTTTGGTTGACATGTATGCATTAGTTATATGGCGCCTATACCATTACCGGCAATGCAATATTTACAAATTCAATGTTACTTTATTTGTAAATATTTTGGTGATATTAATAATATGCAGTATGGTGGCATGTTTAATTAACTTATATATTGAATATCCTATAAATTATTGTGTCAAAAATTACTGAATAAAATTAGGATGTGTTTATATGGAGGTGAGCCATCTTCACATTGAGACGTGTTTTGAGATGATCTTAATTCAGGTTCTCAGCCAGCAAATCTTTTTCGGCAAATATTTCTCCTGCTGAGGGGGAGACCACTGGGTGAGTAACATGCAAAAGACATAGAAACGTATACTTGTGAAAACCAATTGTATGCAAGCCCACTCATTCGAATCTGTCAGGATGAGAAAATCGTCAACAAAATCACTAACTGTGAATCAGGCTTTAGGCAGGTTGTCAAGCAAAAAGCCCTATTATGGAGCAATATAACATTGAGCCTTTAAACACTTGAAAGCAAGTTGCAACCACACTTTTACAGTTATGAGAACTTAAACAGTCATGGAAATGGGGGAAATATCATCTGAGACTACAGATTCAGGGCTGCCAACTCTCCCGGATTATCCGGGAGTCTCAAGATTTTGGACCTAATCTCCCAGTCTCCAGATTTTGTCTTAATTCTCCCGGATTAGGATAATCACCAATGTCGATTTATGCACTAGCCATTTGATTCTTCGTTGTCAAAGTTTTAACAATAAAAATTATTTGCGTTGCACATTCGTTTTGCTGGTAAAAATAAAATTCTTTCGTTGCTGCCTGCGTTGCTTTTAATCAGCGGTTGAATGGCGCCATTTTCCGTAAACACTTCATCTTACAGGGATTATATTAAACTAGTACATAATATTGTGAAACTTGAAATCAATAGTTGTTTAGGCAATTTATAGTTAATATTCGACCTTTTGTATGTCCGAAAAAATTTTTTGACCCCTAAAATGGTACACTGACCGAAATTTTTTTGGCGGGGGGGAGGGAGGTCGGCGAAAAAAAAATTCATATCAATTCTCCAGATTTGAAAACTTCCAAGGTTGGCAGCCCTGCAGATTACTGATATAAATATTCTTACCCTTACGAAAATGTTCTATAGAATCCTATAGAATATGGTATAGAATATTCTATATCCTATAGA